TACTCATGAGGTCCTCACTGCAACGTATGAAGTAGATGCTGTTACTCCTATTTTGCAGATGGGGAAACTGAGGTCCAGAGAGGTTAAGTGACTTGCCCAGAGTCACCCAGCTAGGAAGCTGCAGAGCCAGGATTCAAACCAGGCAGGCCGGTTCCAGAGCTGGTGTCTCCCAGCCACAGGGAGAGGCTCCGGTTACTGAACAGTTCGGGCCTGTGCTCTCCTGAGCCTTGCACTCGGCTTGAAGTTTGTAGTGATTTAATAACATGGGCCCCTGCAAGCTCTGCGGCTGATCCTGGTGCTGGGCACTTGTTGAGAGCTTGACATACATACTCTTGATGAGACCTTCCGGTGCTGTGCAGTAGAGGCTCTTGGCTCCCTTTCACAGATGGGGCTACGGAGGCTTGGAGCTGAGATTGGAACCTTGGGCTGTTGGGCGGACAGGCCTGCATCTTTCAGCCTAGGTCTGAGGCTCTGCAGTGTGTGCACCCAAGGGCAGAGCTGGGTGCTTTCTGGGGGTGCCTGCTCTGCTGGGACATGGGGGAGTCTGGGCAGGGCCAGCAGCAGGACTGGCCGCTGGAGCCAGGGCCACAGGGGGCGGGGGCCTGGTGGTTTCCTCCTGCCCTTCAGGCTCGGAAGTGGCGCCAGCTGGGGTGAGATCACTTCCTCACCCGCCTGCCCGCCACCCCCTCGTCTTCCTCTCGCCCTGGCCTCAATTGGCCTGCCCAGGGCCCAGGGCTAGGGGAGCAAGCGGCTGGGGGGACTGGCTCTGGAAGTTCCTGAAGGCTCTTTGGCCTAAAGGGACTTCTTAGGGCCTGGAACCGGGGTGCTCCGGGAGTCAGCCTCCTGGTCCCGTTCTCCCTCCTGTGGCTGCCGCACGTGGGGAGGAGGCTTCGCTGCACCTGGAGGGGAGGGGGCTCCCAATCTCATCAGCTGCTTTCCTCTCTCTCTCCCCCAGGTGTCAGCCGCAGGCCCAGCCTGTGTCCCCACTCATTGCCACGGCCGGTGGGGGTTCCTGGGGATGGGATTTGCTGCCTGTCACAAATCACATTGCCAGGGATTTCCAACCGACCCTGGGCCCTGCCTCGGGGCCAGCGATGCCACCACCACTGACATGGCCGCCACCACCACCACGCTGCCCAGGGAAGGGCTGGCAGGGAGGCTCCTGCCTGCACCTGGCCTGAGGAGCAGGGCTTAGCTGCTCGTGAGCAGGATCCACACCAAGTAATGTTCACAGTGGCTAAGTTCCGCCCCCCGGGCCCCCGCCTCCTCCTCTGGCCCTGCCACCCTCCTCTCAGCCACTGGGCCTCCCCAGGCTCCCCTGGGCCCTGCCTCCCGTGCCTACTGAGCTGAAACACAGTTGATTTGTGCAGACTGGCTCAGTTCAGCAGGAACAGGAGTCGTGCCCCCTAGGAGCCTGTGGCCCCAGCCATCCCAGGGTAGGCCCATGCCTGGGGGAAAGACTTGGACCCAGATCTGTGTCCTAAGGAGGGGCATGGGGAGGCATGGGACCTGGGATGGGGTGGGTGGGCTGGGCCCAGCTGTCTGTCTCTTCCCCCCTCCCCCAGTCTGTACTTGGAGACCCCCCACGTAGCCTCACTACAAGTTGGGCTGTGCTCCCAGGCGGCCTGTCTGTGAAGAAGGGAAGCCAGCTGTGTCTCCCCAGCCTGGACGACCCCCAGGCCTGGAGCCTCGGCCCCTCCTCTCTCAGCCTGGTGAGGGCACACACCAGGCTGGACCTGCACCTCCCACTGCCAGTTACCCAAGAGGAAACTGTGTTGGTCCCCCAGACCGTTAAATGCCAACTTAAGGTTTCCGGAACCGGGCTGGCCTGACCTAAGCATGCCTGGCCCCTTCTCCCTGGCCCTGCAGCTTCCTAACTTGCGGGGAGGAAGAGAAACCCCCTTTTCTGGCACATTGGGCTGGGAAAAGGCTCCCAGGGGCAAGAAATGACAATAGCAGGCCTGCTCAGTCCTGGGTCCTGAAAGGGTCACCTTCCTCTCCTTGAGTGGTCTCAGGGCATGGAAACAGGTTGAGACTGTCCATGATTCCAAATTGAGATGATGCCTGCCCCCCAGGCCCTCAGGGCTGGTCCTACAGCCCCTTCCCTACCAGCTAGTGACAGACAGAAGCTTAGGGAAAAGAGAGGGACAGTGTGTGCGGTGTATTAACTGTTCAATAAAGTTGCCTGGTTTCATTTCTGGTTTTGTGATTTGCTCCATCACTTCCTAAGCAGTTCTTGCTTTCTGAGTAAGGAGGGCGGTGCTGGCACCTGGGGCTTCTGGCCCCTCAGGATCCTTGTCTCTCTCCCTGCTCTGGGGAAGGAGGCACTTCAGTCATGTGGATGGAGATGTCCCCCCTGGGCTTGAAAACACATCCTTGAGGGGTACATATCCTTGGGTTGGGGAGTGATTCTGAGGGAACCCCTGAACCCGAGGGATTCAGGGCCAATGAGGCCTGAGAGAGGGTGATAGGGAGAGAGAGCTGTTATGGGGTAACAATAAGCCCCATTTCCTGGGGCCAGTGGAACCTGAGTGGGATCATTGTGTATGTGTAGGGGTGCCACCAGGGTCTGTAATGGGAGTGACCCTGAGGGGAAACGTTGGGCCTGAAAGGTGATACTTAACGGGTAAGTGGGATCAAGGGGTGGCCCATGCTGGAGCCACTTTGGGGGCGTGACTGGCCACTTAAGGGATAACTGACCAGGTCTAAGGAGGACGCTTGAGGGGAATCTAGGCTTGAAAGGTGTATGTGACTAAGTGAAACTCCAGGTTCACGGAGGGACATTGGGAATGACTGAAACCTAAGGAGCGCCCAAGGCCCGAAGGGGACATATAAAAGTAATTGGGAGCCGAGGGAGAAGAGTCGACCAAGGGGCGACGCTGAATCAATACTGGCACGTAAAACTCAGCCAACCACCACCAACCTCTCCAAACGCCAGGCCTCCAGGCGGCGCCAGAAAGCGCGCCGGCCGGCGCTGGGTCCGCCTGTACATACCTGCGGAGCGCGTGGGGCGGGGCAGAGGGCGGAGCCACCTCCAATTGGGCCTCTGGAGTGGATGGCGGCGCCACGAGCAAATCGCCATGCCCAGCGCTGCCGCCACCCCGCCTCCGGTTGTGCGCACCACCTCGGTCGGCAGGCCCCGCCCAGTCCCGCCCTAAGCCCCGCCTCTCCGAGAGCCTCTGTCCTCGCCTGCCCCGGCGCTGATAGTGACCCAGACTCAGCCCTCTGCCACGAATATCCCTTATTTGTCCGTCAGCAAGAAGATCCCGAGGGAGCTGCTTCTCGGAGAGTCAGGCAGGGAAGGAAACCAACCTAAGACCTTCCCGTCTACCCCAGGCGCCCTCATACTATATAGGGACTGGGAAAGCTCAGCGGTGTAAACGCCCCCGACCAGCGAACCCACGCTGACCACGCCCACCCCCGTTTCGCCCAGAGCCCCGCCCACAATGGCCTAGTCTAAACCGGCTGCCAGTGCTTTCCCTCGGGGTGTCTTCCAGACCCAGTTGTTTGTTGAGGCTGTTTTGCAACAACCCAACTCCCTCGTCCATTCAGCCCCTCCCTCCCCCAAATAATGCACCTTGCGAATTTAACAACGACCTGTCCTTGTGGCTGCCTGAGCGCCCGGAACCCCAAGCGGTTACGCACCTAGCGCGTCTGAAGCAGCTCCGCCACTTGGAGACCATACTCCCAACTGCGTGTCCGGAGCCAGGGCACCCCCGAGTGGCCATTCCCAATGGTGCAGGAGCAGCGCAGCGTCGGTGGGCACCATAGTACTGTCCACTTTTTCCTAGCTAGGTGCTCTTTTTGGAAACGTCTGAGCTTGTTTTCCTACCCATCAAATGGAAATAATAAAACCTCACAGGGCTGCTGTAATGATTAAACGATACAGGTAAATCGCTTATACCTGTCGGCCACTATGGCAGTTTGATGCAACAAGCAGTCGCTCCCATTCCACCCCTTGCTTGAAGCTGTGCCCACAAAGATGGTCAGAACGGAACAGTGTTGGCCTAGGTGGACGCACCCCAGACTCAAAATAAAATAACAAAGAAAAAGCTGTGTTCATTGTTTAAAAAAAAAAGAAAAGGAAAAAGGAAAATACAATATACGGTTCAATAAATAGAAAAAAAAAATTACAAAACGGCGTGATTTTTTGTCCTTAATATACAAGAGGAGAGGAGGTAGAGGGGGTGACTGGGGGTGGGACGTTCTCCCTTCCTCCTCCCTGGAGGGGTGTTGGGGGGGGTGGGACGGAGGGCAAAAGAAAAAGCAGCTGAGACTTACACATAGAAAGGCAACTATGAAACGTGGAGAGGCTGAGTAAGCTGAGGAGGGTGAGACAGGAGACAGAGGAGAGGGACAGCCAGATGGACAACCATTAATAAGGGGGCCTGGTTTCTGGCGCTCTTGGTTTGGGAGATAGCATGAGCCTCGCTTGTGTTCCTGAGTTGTGTGTCCAGTGACTAGCGGGTGGGGGAGGGGCAATGACCCTAGCCCACCCTGGGACCTTGGTGCTGAAAGGGGTGGGGGTCCTGGATGGAAGAGGGGTGTGAGGTATGCAGCTGAGACCTGAGGCCTCTTTCAATCCTTCACTGAGGATGTGGCATGGTCCCTGCTGGGCAGCCTGGGGCGAGGGGTGGTACCGGGGCAGGATGGGCCCTGAGGCAGTGAGAGGGTGCACAAGGGGATTCTAGATGCCCTGACACAAGTCCCAGTCACCTGGGTAGGGTGTGGGGGCTCCTGCTACATCACCTTTCAAGGCAGATTCGGGAATGTCCTGCCTCCCAGTCCCCATGGAGCCTAAGCCAGCCTGAAAGTCAAGGAAGGAGAGTTTGCTTATTGCTTTTGGGGTACCCAAGGTGGGGTCATACCTGCAGCCCAAGTAGATCTCCCCTTCCAGACCTAGGCTATGGCTTCTGGTCCTCACATCTGGCACACTCCCAGGCACGCATGTGGTAGGATGGCCCCCACCTCTAGCTGGCTTTGGGGGTTGGTGAACGAGACCATCTTGATCCCGCCCGGCTCCTTCCCTGACTTAATACTGAAATGCCACCTGGACCTCCATTGCCGAGGCCCCCTGTGGAGAGGGAGCCAGGGGGCAGGGGACAAGGGGGACTGCCCTGGCCCCTCAGCCGAAACGTTCCCGCACTAAAAGCATGAGCTTCTTTTTGCCCTTGTAGGTCTGTTTGAGGTTCTCCAAGAACTGGGCGAACTGAAGGTGCCCGTCGGGCGCCAGCAGGAAGGTCTCCCGGGCCTTGCCCAGGAACTCGATGAAGTCCCCATAGTGCCGTGGGCTGATGTGCGTGAGGCGCGAGTGGCTGGTGGTGATGTAGGCCGCCACCGCAGCCTCCAGGAGCTGGCAGAGGGGTGCCCGGTCTGCGCCCAGGGGCTTGGCAGCCCGGCGGGCCCCCAGGGGACCCAGGCCAGGGGCCGAGAGGGTCCAGCGGCGCAGGATATCGGAGAGCATGGGGGCGCAGTGGACGCCGCGGATGATGAGTGGCACGATGGCCGAGAGCTCATGGCGACCCAGGGAGTGGCTGAGCGAGCAGGCCCAGAGAACGTCGTTGACGGCCGGGTGGCTGTCCTGGTTGAAGGCAATGCTCAGCTGCGCCAGGGCCAGCGTCGCCAGCTTGTAGGCTCGCAGCGGCAGGCCCCGGTGCTCCATGTAGCGGGCCACGGTGAAGAGGTGGGCGTGGCCCAGGCCGCCGGCCGCAGCATCCAGCACGATCTGGTATGCGGCCTCAAAGGCCGCGTGGTTCTTCTCACACAGGGTGAGGGCGGGCAAGGCACAGTTCTGCGGGTCCTTCATGGCGCACTGCAAGGCCAGGGTGCGGGCGCAGGCCCAGAGCTCCTCACGCCGTGGCCCATCCAGTTGTAGCCGCAGCAGCGTGGCATGCGTGGTACCCGTCACAGCCACTATGGTAGCCGCCTCCACTGGTGTGAATAAGGAGTACCAGTTTTGCATGATGTTCATCAGTGCTTGTGGGCCTGGTGGGAGCCGAGAGGGAGAAACTGGTCAGGAAGGGGGCAGGCTTGTGGATGTGGATGGATGGGTTTATCCTCACACAGCCATCTTTTCCAGACAGGGCTGAAGCTGAAGATGGCCCCCCTCCACCCCCTATCATACTTGACTGAAACTGCATCTTACTCGTCCAAACAGCGGGGCAGTAAGGGGCAGCAGATGGGGCCCCACTGGGTTGGAAGTAACATAGGGGACTGTCTGGTAGACCTGTTTCCTCCCCAAACCATTTCATCCTGGCCAGTCTCCAGCCCTCTGCCATATGGGTTCCCCTGCCTGACACTCCCTCCCAAAAGCTCTGCTTTTCGTTTACCTGCCAGGTCCCTTCAGTGAAACCTGAGGAACCAGAACAGGGAGGTACGTGGAGGGGCCATGAGGGGCTGTACTGGGTCAGAGTATCCCCTCCAAAGTCATGGCCACCTGGAACATGTGGACGTGACCTTATTTAGAAACAAGGTCTTTGCAGATGTGATCGGGCTAAAATGAGGTCATAGTCGACTGGGCTGGGTCCTTAGAAGAGGGGAATTTGGACAGACACACACACAGGGAAGATGGCCATGGGCCAATGGAGGCAGAAGCTGGGATGATGCTGCCACAAGTCAAGGAATGCCAAGGACTGGTGCAACCACCAGAAGCTGGAAGAGGCAAGGCCGGAGTCTCCTCTAGCGACTTTGGAGGGAGCGTGGCCCTGCCGACACCTGAATTTCAGACCTCTGGCCTCCAGGTTGCAAGAGAACGAGTCGCTGTCATTTAAGCCACCCAGTGGGCGGCACTTAGTCAGGGCAGCCCCGGGACACTCAGACCGGGCTCTCACCGATCTCTGTGGCGCAGCTGACCAGCCAGCGCACCATCTCCCTGCGACGCCAGGTCATGGTGCTCAGGGTCATTCGCATCACCTGCAGTGGGAAGGAAGAAAGTCACCCTAAGGCTTGGGTTGGCCTACTGAGGGGGCGGACTTGGAAGTGAAAGGCTGCTCCGATGACAACCTGGAGCAGTGACCTCACCTCTCTGGGCCTCAGCCTCCTCTTCTGTGAAATGTGGATACAGATAGTAAACCTCACAGGGTGGCTGTGAGCGTGAAAGGAAACTATGTTGTGAAGCTCCTGCACTTGCACGGCTGTTGGAAGGTGCAATTACTGCTATTGTCGGTATTATTCTGAGACTTCATGGATCCCACCCTGTCAACAAACCAACCTGGCCTTTCTCTCTGGAAACTTCCATGCTTCACTCAGAAGATCTGTCCTTGAAGCCCCAAAGCCCCTGCCCTAGAGGCAAGGCCTCCTTCAGGCCCATTCTCCAGTAAGCACCCTACTTGCTAGCCTCTCCCCTGAGGCCCCAGCCCCAGCTCCTGCAGCGTGGACCCTGGCATGGGCAGGCCCTCTACTAGCCTATGTCCACTAGAGCTCAGCACTTGTCCCTGCAGATTCTGCAATGGCTCCACCCCCATAGGAAGCTGTCCTGGGCCAATCCTGCCCCTCCACAGGCCCCATGTTTGCCTGTTCTACTGGGAATGACCGATGCAGATCTGTCCCAAGCTGTTCCTTATTTTATCTTACTTCTACCACCCTCTTCGGCCCTGGCCTCACAGGCCTCATACCTGGCCCCTCAGGCCATGCCTCTTCAGGACATTTGCTTGCCTACCCTGTCCCTTCTGGGCCCTTCTGAGTCAACTCTTCACCTGCCAGCTACACCCATGCTGGCCCCTGACTTGGCCTAAGTACTCACCTGAAGGAAGGCCTGAGCCCTGGCCCTCAACTGCAGACCCCACCCCAGAGATGTACGACCCTCCGACTCTCCCCCTCTAGGCCTTATCCCCAGTGGGGCATCCCTCACCTGCAAGCAAGTGCCTGAACCCCTTCAGTTTCAGTGCCTCCCATGCATGGTCTTCGCCACAGGCACCCCAGGCCCCACCCTCATGGCCTATACGCTCCACTCTGCTCTCTCTGGAGACCCAGCCACTGGTCTGCAGACCCTGCCCCTCAAGGGTCCCCCGGTGGCCCTCACCTGTAAGCCCAGCTCCAGTGCAATGCCCAGCAGCGTGGTGTCGGGTGGTGCACTGGCTGGGGTGGCCGTCTTGCAGGCATCCTGTGCCAGTTTGAAGAGCAGGGCTGGTGAGTGGATGTTCTGCTGAATGGAGCCCAGCACCGCATGCAGCCACTTGGGGTCTCCTGGGCAAGGGGAGGGACAGAGGTATGTTGGACACACCCCAGCACCAGCCCAGCTACCGCTCGACCTGCCGCACACGTCTCTCAGCCCAGGAGCCCGTGTGTGAGTACTGATTGCAGGCAATGGCTGTGGGATGGTTTGGACCCATGGCATCCCTACCTGCCCATTCTGTCTTCTGTATATACCTGCTAGGCTGCTCTGCCCAGTGTGAAGAAGCCATTCAGGGACCTGCTAGACCCTCAACCATCAAGAGCATCAGTTTCTTCCTGGCATTTACTCGCCATGTGACTCTGGATAAGTCACTTCACCTCTCTGTGCTGCAGCTGCTACATTTGTAAAGTGGGTAATAATGGGGAACCCTTGTGGTAGAGTGGTTAAACATTTGGCTGTTAATCACAAGGTCAGCAGTTCAAACCCACCAGCTACTCTGCAGGAGAAAGATGTGGCAGCTTGCTTCCACAAAGATTACAGTCTTGGAAATCCTATTGGGCAGTTCTACTCTGTCCCACTGAGTCACTGTGAGTCTGAATTAACTCGACTGCAACGGGTTAGGACCTGCCTCAAGAGTCCCGATGAGTACTTATTAGTTAAGAACTTGATATGATAAGAGCTATGTAAATGGTAGCTTTTATTACTATTATCACCGCTGGCCCAGGTCCTACAGTTCTCTCTGCTTCTGCTCCAGCCACAGTGGCCTCCTCACTGTCCCTCAAACACTCCAGGCACAGTCCAGCCTCAGGACTCACTGTTCTTTCCACCTAGAGCCCTTTCCCCAGATCTCCACATGGCTCCTCCCCTCCTCGTGTCTTTACGGAATGTCTCTCTCCCTTTACTGTTTAACTCTCTGGGTCTGAACCCTCCAGCAACTCTATGGGAAAAAGATAAGATAGTCTGCTTCTGTTAAGATTTACAGCCTTGCAAACTCTATGGGGCAGTTCTGCTCTGTCCTACAGGGTCTGCATGAGTAAGAACTGTCTTGATACCAAGGGGTTAGGTTTTGGTTTTTTACCTCTTTTACTGTCTGATTCCTTCCCCCAACTAGGCTGGAAACCCCACAGGGCAAGGATTTTTTTTTTTTTTTTAAATTCCCCTGTTCTATCCCAGCACCTAGGGCAGTGCCAGGACATATAAGGTGGTCAATGAAGATTAGGGGAGATTTGGTCAAAGGAGAAAGGAGATGGGAAGGGGCATGAAGGTGGGGAGAGGAGTAGCCACTGGCCTCACCCTTGGCGGCCGTCAGCATGGCAGAAGCCAGCTCACACTGGCGGGTCTCCAGGTGGCCCAGGATGAACCAGCGGGGGAAGCGGTTACTCATGATGGAGTCCAGTGGGTTGGGGTGTGGTTCTCCAGCCGGAAATGCCGTCTCCAGTACAGGCAGCCTGGGGTGAGGGGCAAAGCGAGCCCGCGGTGAGGCAGGGCTCGGTCCCTGTCCACCCTGGGAGAGGCAGGCCTCCCACCCCAGCCCGAGCTGCCCCTCTGGCTGGCAAAGCCTTGGCACCCGGAAGACAGAAGGTGTGTGTACAAGGATGTTCACTGCAGTGTTGTTTACGAGAGGGGAGACAGAGTCCTGGAGATGCCCAGCACTTGGGTTAAATGAATGGTCTTCCACTTTTGTATCTAAGCAACGTTGCTGAGAAAGAGGTGAGGTGATTATGTGTGTCCTGATGTGGTTCTCCCATCGTCCCCTCTGTGACCCCACCACCTCATTCTCCCTCATTTATTCCACTCCAGCTGCATTGTTCTCCTCAGTATCTTTCAAACACACCAGGCAGTCCCACTGCAGGGCTTTTGCATAGGCTGGACCCCCTTGGCACAGTGGTTAAGGCATTTGGCTGCTACCCAAAAGGTTGGCGGTTCGAACCCACTAGCTTCTCATGGGAGAAAGATGGGGCATTCTGCTTCCCTAAGGATTTACAGCCTTGGAAACCCTATGGGGCAGTTCTACTGTCCTATAGGGTTACATAGTTGGAATCGACTCGATGGCAGTGGGTTTGGTGCCCTCTGCCCAGATCTCCTTGTGGCTCTCCCATCACCTCCTTCCGGTCTTTTCCAATAAGCTCTTCCCTGACAGCCTCCAGCACATGTCAAACTGCGACCTCCCACTCCCAACTTCTTCTCCCCCTTCTCATTGACAGTGTAGTCTATGTATTTCTCTATTAGCTGGCTGTCTCTCACTAGAACGTCAGCTTGAGGGCAGGGACTTCACTCCTCTGTTCACTTCGGAGCCTGCTGCAGCCGGAACAATGCCCGGGACGCAGTAGGTGAACAGTAACTATTTGTCGGGGGACTCAATATCCAAACCAATATTGTTCATGGCTCACTGAAATTTACATGTGTGTTCTCTGAGCGGTGCAAATAGTTAATGCACTCGGCTACTAACCCAAGGGTTGGAGGTTCGAGTCTACCCAGAGGGGTCTGTGATGATCTCCTTTTGAAAAACTGAACCCTGTGGAACAACACAGTTCTACTCTGACACATGTGGTCTCCATAAGTTGGAACTGGCGGCAACTCTTTTTTTTAGTTTTATGTTCAGAACTCCAAACAAAACAAACCCACTGCCATCAAGTCAATGCCAACTCACAGCAATCCTATAGGACACAGTAGAACTGCCCACATAGGGTTTCCAAGGCTATAAATCTTTACAGAAGCAGACCACCTCATCTTTCTCCCACGGAGAAGGTGGATTCAAACCGCTGACATTTGGTTAGCAGCCGAATGCCTTAACCACTATGCAACCAGAGCTCCTTTTGTTCAGAAAGGTATTCAAAACATCTAAGTATGACTAAAGGCACTGGGTAGGAGTCAGAAAATTCTGGTTTAAATATTAGTGCCATTTCCTTGCTGTGCGACCTTGGACAGTGGAGATACCACAGGTCATTTTCTTCATGTGCAAAATAGGGGTAAAATATTTACTTTGCTAGGCAGCTTTGAGGATTGTATTGGGCAAAATATGTCATGGATTTATACCAGGGGTCAGCCCCCTTGTAAGCCAATACTTCAGCTTTGTAAGCCATTCAGTCTCTGTCACAAGGACTCATCTCTGCTACTGCAGCGTGAAAACAGCCAGAGATGGTATGTGAACAAATGGGGGTGGCTGTGTTCTAGCGAAACTGCATTTCTGAACATCGACGCTGGGATTTCCTCTAATTGTCATGTGACACAAAATATTCTTTTGATTTTTGCCCAATCCTTTAAAAGTGTAAAAACACATTGTACTCTTTTACAAACTATTTATATGGGATCAAATTGACAACAGCAACTTGAAAGATTAGATAGGAACCTTGGGGGGCAGGGAGATTATGAGAATGGGGACCCTCAGAAAAGGCTGCGTGACCTGAACGCCATCAATGTCCTGAATTGCACACGTCGAAACTGTTGAATCGATGTATGTTCTGTGTCTGTTTTCAACAATGAAAACAAAAACTAACATAAATGTTTTTAAAATGTGAAAACCAATTCTTATCTCCTGGGTTTTACAAAAACAGAAGGCAGACGCCTGGCTTAGAAAAAATTCTTGTACATAAAAGCATTTTCTGAATCATGGTGCTCATGGATTATTCTTTCCAAATATTTTGGAAAGACACCCCTTAGGCTGTCAGCCAGTACTTCTGGAAGATGGGAGCCAAAGGTGAGGGACAGATCTTGTGGTTTTCTACAGAGAGGGGGCCTTTAACATTCGGTCTCTACGACCTTCAGGTGTGCATGAGAATGATAACGAGGTTATTCATGGCAGGGTCTTTGGGAAGCAGCATGAATGCCCATCCGTTCCAAGTTCCTCCCCGGTATGTGTACACAGTGGGACAAAGTGGTGATTCACGGGTCCTGTCTACTGGGTGATATGACAAAGCCTCTAAGATGCCGTGTTCGGTAACACCAAGGTACAAAGAGAATGTACCCATGCAGCTATTTGTACAAAAGGAGGACCAGCTTTCAAGTTTAAGATCAAGGGTTTTCATAAATCTAGACTAAGATTCAGACTGAGGATCGGGGGATAGAACTAGAGCAGGATCAGGATATATAAGACAAGCAACATTGTTTAAGGAGTCCTGGTGGTGCGGTGGTTAAGCACTTGGCTAACCAAAAGGTTGAGGGTTTGAACCCACCAGCCACCGCACAGGTCAACGATGTGGCTGTCTGCTTCCATAAACACCTACAGCCTTATCTTATGGAGCAGTTTTACTCTGTCCTGTAGGGTCCCCATGAGTTGGAATAAACTCGAGGGCAAAGGGTGTAGGTAGCATAGTCTGCCTCCAGGAGAACTGGGTAGCAGTGTGTAGAAAAGGACCTGCCTTTCTGTACTTATTGAATTTTGTACCATATGGATATTTCTCAAATTCAAAACATTACCTGTTTATATTTAGTAATAAAAAGCAAGCTGCAGCCTCCCATGCCAGAGGGAGGGAGCCCGGATTAAAGAGTGAGGCTCTCAATTCAGGCGGCAGTGGGGCCCCTCAGCTGCCTCCCACCTGCCTCCTGCTGACCTCCCCCTGCAATGCTCGCGCCCCCAGCTGTCCTCACCTCATGGCTCGGAGTGCCAGGCGGTAGGCCAGGTCGGCATCGTGGGGCAGCAGCACGGTGAACAAGTAGCGGGCACAGGTGTGCATGGGCACGCTCTCCCGGAACAGCACCTCCCCGAAGCCGCTGAAGGGACCGCCTGCAGGGGAGCCTTTGCTCAGCCCCCAGGTGCGGCTCGCCTCCGCCCTTCCCCAGATCTCCCCAGACCCTGGGCTCTGAATGGGGATGGGTGGACCCCGGGAGAGAGTGGCTGGGTCTAGAGCAATCCCTGGGGGAGGAGCTCAGGGCTGAAGCGCTGGAAAATCGGAGGACGAAAGGAGGACACACCCCCGAGTGGGGGGCAGCACCGAGGCAGGGTAGGGCCAGAGAATGGAGATGCGCCCGCATCTGCACCAAGGGCGGAGCATCGGCCCAAACTCAGCCCAAGTCACCTGCTGGAGAAGGGCTAGGAGGCAGGGCCAAGCAGGCTCCAGAGCGCCGTGGGGGCGGGGCCCCACATCACGGAGGCTGGGTTATGGGCGGGGCCAGAACCAGGGGCGCGGCCTAACTTGTGGATGGGAGTTGGGCGGTCTCGCTTTCCAGCACCAGCAACTTGGCTTATTGGCTACAAGGTGGGAAGTGGGTGGGACTTCATTGCTGTCAGCAGTTGGGGTTCTTGCCTGCCAGCACATGCTGGGGGGCGGGACCAAAGGCTGGATTCCACCTTTTAGGAGGAGCAAAGGTGCTCACTAAGGAGCTCTGGTGGCATAGTGCATAAGGCATTTGACTGCTAACCAGAAAGTTTGTGGTGCAAACCTACCAGCCACTCCAACGAAGGAAGACTAGGCCATCTACTTCTGTAAAGATTTACTGCCTCAGAAACCCAGAGGGGGTCGCTATGAGGCAGAATGGACTCCATGGCAGTGAGTTTGGTTAAGGTCCTCATTAACCTGCAAACTACTTTACTTACTGAAAGTGAAGAGGACTTGAAGTATTTACTGACAAAGATGAAACACTACGTACAGCCTTTAGTATGGATTACACACAATAGCACATCAACATAAACCAAAACTCCTCACATCTGCACAAAGAAGCAACCTCCTGATAAACAGAAAATATACTGTAGTGAAGTTGTCAAGGATTTCATTTTCCTCGGATCCACAATCAATGCCCATGGAAGGAGTCAATATCAAACGATGTATTATTGCACTGGGCAAATCTGCTGCCAAAGACCTCTTTTAAGTGGTAAAAAGCAAAGATGTGACTTTGGAGACTAAGGTGCTCCAGACCCAAGCCACAGTATTTTAAGTCGCCTCATGCACATGTGAAAGCTGGAAAGTGAGTAAGGAATACTTTATGATGCCTTTGGATTGTGGTGCTGGCGAAGAACACTGAAACTACCATGGACTACCAGAAGAATGACCAAATCTGTCTCGGAAGAAATACAGCCAGAATGCTCTTCAGAAGGGGGGATGGAGAGACATCTCATGTACTCTGGACATGTTACCGGGAGGGACTAGTCCCTGGAGAGACATCATGCCTGATAAAGTGGAGGGTCAGCAGCAAGAGGAAGCCTCTCAGTGAGATGGACTGATGCAGACAGTGTCTGCACCAGTGGGCTCAACATCTGTGAGGATGGCATAGGCCCGGGCAGGGTTTTGCTCTGTGCCCAGGATAGCTGTGAGCTGGAACCAACTCCAGAGGATGTGGCAACAGCAAGTATTAGCTGACAACAAGGGCCAGGAGGCGGGGTTGTGGCGGGGCCTCACCTTCCAGCAGCAGCCCCGCCTGCTTACGCAGCACCTGCACCAGCCGCTCGTCCAGCTCCACCTCCTCCAGCAGGGCCAGCAGCTGCTCCTCGCTGCGCACCACCTTGTCCTGGGCATACAGCCCCTCGGGCAGGGCCCGCTGCTGCCCCAGGCCCAGCAGCGCCACCTCCAGCGCCATCGAGAAGTAGGACTCGCCAGGGCTCCCAGGCACGGGCACGTGCTGGTAGGCCACCTTCCGCTTCTCAGGGCCTAAGTCTAGGGAAGACGCAGAGGCTGCGGGGGATCCCTTCTCTGGGGTCCACCCAAGCCTGGAGACTGCGAGTGGGCGGGGCTTAGGGGAAGGCCAGTGAGGAAGCCTACTTGCTCCTAGCAGGCACCAGGGTTGATGGCCCTCCAGCTACCAGCACAGAGGCCTACTGGCCGTCTCATTTTCAGAAGCTAAGCCTATTGGCACCTGACAGTGGCTAGGGGCATAGCCAAGGGCGTGAGATCACCCCCCCCAACAGGGGTCCCCAGTGTGGATACCTGGGTAAAGAGAGAGGGTCTCTTCCTCTAGGCGACAGGCCTCCAGGAGTGCTCTGCAGAGGCAGCCAATGGGGTCCAGTGGGTGGCCCACCCATCCTTCCGTGTTGGTGATGCTGGTGGAGCCTTTTTGCAGCAGCTCTGCAGGTAGGAGAGGGGCTTAGTGCCTGCTTGCCCCAGGGCAGCCCACCTCTCCCTGAGCCCTGGGCCTCCCAGGCCCCACCACCTGCCCATCCAGCGGCCACCTTCTTTGCATCTGCATTCTCTAGGTCCCACAGCCAGGCCTAAAACCTGGCAGGATGCAGGGACAACGGATGTGTCCCTCCTCACCTCCAACAAGATAAAGCCCGAACAGCTCTCAGGTTCCCGGACCAACGTGAATTTGGTACAGTGGCGGGTGCCTCACCCCCTCCCAGCTCCTCCCCCAAGCCCTGCCCTCCCTTGCCCCTGGGCTCCTGCCCCTGCCTCTCCTACCGGGAGCACTCCTGTCTCTCCTCTTTCTCCTGGGTAACTTGGCATCCTAAACACTTCCACCTCGCTATCCCTTCCTCTGGGTACTTTTCCTGAGGCCCGCAGACTGTGTCAGGGGCTCTGCCCAATTCCTGGGGCTCCCCATATCCCCCATTACCCTTGCATTCAATTTTCTGACACCTGATCCATCAAGTGTCACCCATGGAATTCACCTGGTACCCACCCCACATCCAATCCACACATTCTACGCAACCCCCATAGTTTTCTTTTTTTAATGCACAAATTTGAATTTGTTGCTGATGTTTAAAAATCAGGAGATTTTGCATCCAATGATCCAGATGCCTGGCTTCACTTGAAAAATCGGAAGATCTGCCCACCCCGGGCCTACAAGCCTGAGAAGCAAACCCCAGACTCCTCCGCACGAGACGTGGAGGCGAGAGGAGAGGCCACAGGAGGCGAGAGGAGAGGCCACAATTCCTGCGAGCTGGGGTGGCGCTGTCTGTGGGCGGGGCTTTGCGGGAAGCTCTGGTGTCCTCTTGGGAATTACTCTTCTGGGGGCTGCAGGCAGGCCCTTGCGCTCACTGCTGGCAGTCTGCCATGACTCTGGATCCTGCAGCCCTTCGATGGTTTTGTAGGCCCTATTTCCCTAACTCCCTGTGTTAAATTCCTCTGCTCCAGACACCTGGGGTGGTTTCTGCTTTCCTCTGGTGTCTCCAAGCCCTGGGATGTGGGGCTAACACTGCTGCCCACCTTTTTTCTGCTGCTTGTAGCTCTCAAGCTGATGTCGCTGCTGCAGCCGCAATGTGTTGACGATGGCTCCTGCCAGTCGCAGGGCCTGGCGGGGGTATCCGTGGGCACGCAGGGTGTCCACGCGGGCGCAGGCGGTGGGGAAGGGTTCTCCTAGCCAGAGCGGGCGGCCCTGGGGGTCGAAGGTCAGCTTGTCGCCACCCATACTGCCTTTGAGGCTGGGGCTGCAGGAGTCACTGGCCAGGATCCTCTGCAGGTGGGCATCATTCCAATGCAGCTCCCCAGCCTGCAGGGCTCTGCTGAACACTGTGTGGCGGGAACCTGCCACTGCCACCTCCGGGCCTGGGGGACAAGGGCCCAAGGCAGCCTGATGAGGGAGCCTGGGCGGTGGATGTGGCCAGCTCCCCGGACTAGGCAGACTCTGGGGTGGGGGTGAAATGATGGCTGTGCGTGTGGGGCTATGATAGCCCCATCATATGGATGGAGACAGGTTACCATCCATCAGTCTGTCTGTCCTTTCTCAGACTCCATTTCTCTCTCTGCCCCTCCATCTCTCTTTTTCCCTCTAACCTTCTCTCCACCCACCTCCACCTCTGTCTGTCTCTTCTCGTGCTCCCTCCTCTGTTCCACTCTGTATCTTTTCCCTCCTCTGCTCTGTCTCCACTGCTGGTAACAGAAGGCTGAACCAGGCCATCAGCCAGGACACATCACCATCCCCTGGGGCTGCCGACCGCCCCTTGCCCTGAGCACCCACTCTCCTCTGGCTCGGCTGCCTTTGCCCTGTACCACACTGCCTTCTCTCCTGGGATGGGGCCCCTCCCCTACCTGAGCTGGGGGCCACTGTGGGCTGCAGGCTGGGGCCGTCAAAGGTGTAGTTGCCCTCTTCCAGGGGGCACACGTCCAGCTTGTCCCACTTCCATAGCAGCTGCAGCCAGCCTGCCTGCTCCTCGGGCTTGCAGTGGGGGCTCAGGACAACGCAGACCCACAGGGCCCCTAAGAGGTGAGGGCAGCCAACACTTATTGAGTACTTACTGTATGCTGGGCCCTGCTCTGCTCAGTCCTCACCTTGACTCACTGAAGTTGGCATTAATGATATCTTTTTTGCATCTTCCAGGTCAGATACCCAAGTTACTGACAGGGAAAATAATTTGCTCAAGGTCATACAGCTGGTAAGACTGAACTTAGGGGAACCATATTTTTTTAGGTTGGGCAATCTACTTCCGTAGTGATGCCGCCTTGAAAACCCAAGGAGGGGTTGCTGTGAGTTGGATGTGACTCAAGGGCAGTGGTGGTGGTGGTGGATAGCACTTTTATCTAACATGTCCACAGAATGTGTCCACATGACCATAGGACAATCATTTTTAAATTCCTGAAAAAAAAAAATTCAAAATAAAATGATATGAAATTCAAATAAATAAAAGTGTCCATAAATACAGTTTTACTGGAACGCAGACATGGGGATCCATTTATGTATCATTTACGGCAGAGTTCATTAGGTGTAACTGTATGGCTGCCCAGCTAAAAATAGTTACTATCCAGCTGTCCTTGGTTGAATACCACAAAAAGAAACAAAACTTACTGCCATTGAGTCGATTACAACTCATAGTGACCCCCACTGAGTTTCCGAGGCAGTAAATCTTCACGGAAGCAGATTACACCATCTTCCTTCCATGGAGTGGCTGGTGGGTCTGAACCAACAACCTCTGGTTAGCAGCCCAATGCCTTAGGCACTATGCCGCCAGAGCTCTTTGGCTGAATAGTATCTCCCCCAAAATTCACATCTACCTGGAATCTGTGACTGTGGCCTTATTTGGAAATAGGGTCTTTGCAGATGTAATCAGGCTAAGATGAGGTCTGCTATGGATCAAATCATGTCCCAAAAAGATGTGTTGAAGTTCCAAGCCCTGTACCTGTGAATGGGACCTTGTCTGGGGAAATAGGGTCTTCCTCTGAAAATGTTATCGGTGAAGTTAATGAGGTCATACTGGAGTAGGGGAGACCCTAATCCTAATTGACCCAGTGCCGTCGGGTCAATTCTGACTCCTAGCAATCCTACAGGGCGGAGTAGAACTGCCCCATAGGCTTTCCAAGGCTGTAGATCTTTACGGAAGCAGACTGCCTCATCTTCCTCTTGCAGGGCAGCTGGTGGGTTTGAGCCGAGGGCCTTTTGGTTAGCAGCCGAGCGCTGAATCACTGTGCCACCAGGGCTCCTTAAACCTAAACCAAAAGGAACACCAAACTCACTGCCATCGAGTTGATTCCGACTCATAGCCACCCCCTTTGGGTTTCCGAGGCAGTAAATCTTTACAAAAGTAGATCGCCCAGTCTTCCTTCTGCAGAGTGGCTGGTAGGTGTGAACCTCCAACTTTCTGGTTAGCAGTCAAATGCCTTAGGCATTGCGTCACCATTCTCTTCCTTAAACCTAGTGTCTTATTAAAGAAGAAAAGCACACGGAGACTGAGTCACACGGGAGGAAGACAGGACACCATGTGACAACAGAGAAAGGTGCATTTATAAGCAGCCAGGGAACATGAGGAGGGCTGGAGTCTCTAGAAGTGAGGACAGAGGCATGGGACAGTTCTCTCAGAACCCTCAGAAGGAATCAACATGCTCAACATCCTGATTTAGGCTCCTGGCCTCCAGGACTGTAAGACAATACATCTCTGTTCTCCAGACACCTCTCTGTGCTATGTTGTAATGGCAGCCTGAGACCACTGAGATAAGGGCTAGTGGATTATGATGGGCTCTAATCCAATGACTAGAAAGAAGATGGACATTTAGACCCAGACACATGGACAGGGACACAGCAGAGGAGGTCATGTGACAACTCAGGCAGTGATTGGAGTGACGCATCTACAAGGACTGCTGGTAGCCAGCAGAAGCTTTAAGAGGCCAGAAAGGATACTCCCCTAGTGCCTTCGCAGGGGGTATGGCCCTGCTGACACCTTGACTTCTGACCTTCTGAACTGTGAGTGCACACACACTCCTGTTGTTTGAAGCCCCTCGTAAGAAGCATGCTGACCCCTGTCTAGTGAGCTTATTGCATTTTATCATCTGTCCTCCCCATAAGATAGCAGCTCCATGAGGGCAAGGATCTTGTCTCTTGTTCTCTGCTGGGTTCCCAGCACCCTGTCTACTGTCTGGCACATAGTAGGTGCTCACTAAATGCTTGTCAAATGAACGGAGGAAGGCTTCACGGTCCAGACTCTAATCTCAGGCTGGACTCTGGTGCCTGCCATGCTCCAGCCGGGCCTTACCCAGCTCGTCCCACAGCTGTCGGCACTTGTCAGTCATGCCTGCGCCCTGCTGCCGCCACAGTGCCAGGCGTGGGTCCTGCAGGAACTGCTCTGTCATGAGGATCAGCATGCGTGCCCCGTTGGAGTCCCGCATCCGCAGCATTTCCCGCACCTGTGTGGGGACGGGGAGGTGAGGAGAGGGTGGGGTGTCGGCGCCAGGGCCTCCTGAGACTCCGTGCCCGTGAGCCCGCGCAGCACCTTGCTGAACATGGAGCGCAGCTGCTGGCTGGCGCCATAGTAGCCGCCATTGGACAGCAGCTGCTTCACCTGCTCCTGGATCTGCTCCTCATCCAGGTGCCAGCAGTTGGCATCCTCGATGCCCGCTCCCGCTGTGGGGTCTGGGGCACCTGTGGAGAGGAAAGGAAAGCTGAGGCTAGGGTGGGAAAAGAGGATGGCTGCCCCACCATCTGCCCGTTCCTCCAAATGACCCAAACCACCCCAAATTCCATCTATCCTATTCAAAACACAACCCCTGCCCACCCGTTCATCCATTTGCTCATCCTCCCACTTGTCCATCTCACCTTAAACATCACCCGCCCTCCCATCCATCCAGCCATGCATCCTTCATCCATCTCACCTGGAATACTACCTGCCCATCAATCCACCTATCCATCCATCTATCCCAACCAAAACACCATCCCCACCCACCCATTCATCCGATTACTCATCTTTCCACTAGTCCATCTTACCTTAAACATCACTTGCCCATTCAACCTTTGTCCATCTCCTCCAAAACACCATCCATCCATCCCACTCAAAACACCACTAATACCTACCCAACCATCCATTTACTCATCTACCCGTCCATCTGTCCATTCCACCCGAAACACTACCCACCCATTCATCATGTCTATCCTGCCCAAGAAACCATCAGCCCATTTATCCAAACCACTCACCTATCTGCCCACCCACCTGTCATGCTGTGCGTCTATCCACCCATTTCTCCTGTATCAGTTCATTCACACGTCCATATACCTCAACATGTACATCTACTGTCCTATTAATATATCATCCACTCTACCCATAACTCCCACTCATCTACCATCTATATACCCATCCCACTGATCCATCACCTGCTCCATTTGATTTCCAACCCATTCAAACCAACTACTCAAAATACCCATCCATCCACTGACCCTTGCAGTCACACTATCCATCCACCTAAGTAGCCACAACTCTCCACCTAGCCTCCTCATCACGGATGGTTGTCTATTCATATGCAAACATCTACCATCCTATTGGTCCATCTTCCATCCTACACAAAATACCCACATACTCTATCCATCTGCCATGTCAGTCCTCACATATGTACCGTCCATGCATCTACCAACTCACCCCAGTTTCATGCACCCATTGGTCCTTCTATTCTTCCACCAATCCCATCTGTCCACCACCATCAGTCCACCTCAATTCCCCAATCATCAAAGCCCTTCCCAACCACTCAGCCATCCCCCCCAATTACCAACAACTCCCCATTCATCTACCTTCCCACTTACTCACCCATGCACTCACTCCATTGTTTATCCATCCCGTCAGTTTACTCCAACACCCATCATCAATTCCTTCTGCACCCATCCATCCCCACCCTCAATTATACATCCATACCTCTATCCACTACTCATCAACCCACCATCCCCAATTCAACCCCATCCTCCAAATGCATAGCTAGGCAACACAACCCTTGTAGCCCCTTAACCCTCCCAGACTTCCCAACATCTCCAGTCTATCTCCCCACTCATATCCTACCCCTGGCAGCCACTGATGTCCATCCATACCCTTCATGCCCCCACCCATCCACACCCATGCCTGTCCCTGTAATCCCGAGACACCTCCACCCTGAGCTCCCCACCGCCTACCCTGCTCTCTGCCTATTGGCTGATTTACGACCACTCTCTGCTTCACAATGAGATGGAATCCAGGATCTACCACATACTAAGGAAGGCCAGGCAATCTACTTCCATAGTGATACTGCCTCGGAAACCCATGGAGGGGTTACAATGAGTTGGGTCCGACTCCACGACACATAACACCACCACCATCACCACATAATATGTATGGGGCCTTGGAAATGGTGCCCCTTCCCCTCATGTTATCAAGGGGATATGAGGATTCTGTTATGGCACCTGGTCCACAGCAGGGGAGGTAGCTGTGAGCTGCCCCTCACTGCCTCACCCAATCCCCCCTCCACCGGCACCCTTACCGTGCACCAGGTTGATCTCAGAGCCCAGCAGGAGGATCTCGTCAGCCAGACGCTGGGCGGTGGGCAGCACCTCGGTGTGGTGGGCACTGATGAGGTACTGGACAAACTTCTGCAATTGGTCCCGGTTCATCTGCGACAGCGTCTCAGAGATGGGCAGCCGCAGCTCCACCTGGCGGGCGTGCCGGATGCGGTACAGCGACAGGGCCACCACGTGGGCACAGTAGAAGAGGTCACGGTTGTCGCAGCCGCAGCTCACGGATGTAATCTTGCAGCGGTCAAAGCTGATGGAGACGTGGTAGAGACGCTCGGGCTCACCAGTGCCCCCTGGCTCCCGCACATTCCCGCTCAGGTGGAACCCTAAGACCAGAGCCAGAAAGTCGGGGCTGTGTCCCCCCAGGGATGGGTAGGGCTTGTCCTCGACCCAGGGACAAACCCAGCCAAGGGACCCAAGACAAGTCCTCTGACTTCTCTGACCCTCAGTCTCCTCCTCTGTCCACTGGCAATCATCATAACATTCTCTTCATCGGGGTGTTGTGAGGATTACATGAGGCCATGTGTGGAAAGCACTGAGAACACCGTGGGCCTACAGCTTGTCCTAAAGCAATGCTTGCTGGTAATCCACTATGAATACTATCACAGCAATGATGTAGAAGATGGTTTTCTCAGACTTGGCTTATCATGAAGACAGGCAGGGCTCCAGGAGCTCTGAACCTCCCCGTGAAGATGCTAAAGGCTTATAACACTTAGGGTGAGGGGCTAAGGTGCAGGCCAGGGACGCAGGTCACTCCATCACCCCCTACCACTCCCTGGCCCCTGGGGAGCCAGGTGCCAGGCTCACCCGACTGGTTGGGCCGCTCGAGCCCCAGCTGGTCCCAGCTGCGTCATGCAGGGAAAAGGCTTCCTCGTACCGGCTGCAGGCGGCCGAGACTCAGCCAGGCCAGCCGTGGGGGCCTGAGGCTGACAAAACCCAGGGACAGTCATCCTGGCTGAGCCCCTGCCACTATGGGAGCTCTGGGACAACGTCTGCCGGCTTTTCCTGAGCCCTCTGCCTGAGTTCAGACGCTAGTCTTCCTCTCTCTCCAGCCTCCTTCGGCCTCGACTCTGTGCCCCTTCCTCTGCACCTTCTGGCTCATAATCTTGACCTCGGCCCTACCTCGGCTGCCTGAGATCCAGGATCATTTCCCATCTCTAGCCTTAACCTCTGTCCCCGACCCTTACCTAGACCCCACTGCCTGAGGTCTAAAATCATCCCACACACTGACTCTGAACTCCCACATGAGCTCCACTGCCTTAGGTCTAACACTACTCTCAGTGCAAGTTCTAAACCTATGATCCCAACTTCTACCTGAGTCTACAAAAACTGAGGTCTAAGATTACCACTGACCTCCAGCTCTAACTTCTACCCCCAACTCCCACCAGGGTGCCGCTGCCTAAGGTCTAGGATTGTTGATATGTGGCTCTAAATCTCTACCCCAAAGTATCACTGGGCATCAGTGCCTGAAGTCTGGAGCCTCTCTCTTCTGGTTTACAGTCAGTCAGTCCTCTAGCCCTCACTTGGACCCTACTGCCTGGGACCACCCTCCTCCTCTCTCTCCCTGCCCCCACCAGCTTACAATTTCTTCCCTAACTAAGCTAAGCTATCGAGGGCTAGGACTACCTTTTACTTTTACTTTATAATCCTGCACCCAGCCCCATCTAGGCCCGAAGCCTAAGGTCTACAACTTTCTATCACCCTGTCTCACAACCTCTACCCTCAGTCCCTATAGTGACCCTCACCTCTGCCCTCAACCCGGACATGGGCCCCACTGCCTAAATTCTGGGACCTTCCCTGCCCCTCCTTTCGGGGTCACCGCTTCTCATCCCACTCCCCATCTAAGCCCCGCTGCCTGAGATCTAGGACCACCTCTTACCTCTGGCTCTAAATCTCTATTAACTGTTTGCTGAGTCCCACTGCCTAAGTTCGGGAACCAATCCTCCCTTCTGCTTCACCACATTTCCTCAACCCCACCCGTATTCTGCTGCCTGAGGTCTAAAACCTCTCCCCAGCCAAACCCCATTGGGTCTACTTTCTGAAGTCTAGAACCTCTCTGCTACCCCATTCAACCTCCAACCCCCCATTAGGCTCACTGCCTGAGGTCTGGACCCTCGTTCCCCCTGGCCTAGGCCTCCCTGTTGAGGGCGGGGGGCACTCACCCACTTGTAGAACGCGGTCCACAGCCCCGCTCTGCAGTAGATGCAGCCCTCGGGTGAAGGGCACCCTGGCATCATGCTCGCCCTCTGGGGGCTGGTAACCCAGCGACGAGTACATGCATATTTCCCGCTCACTGCGTGGAAAGGACCAGAACACGATGCGTTTCTGGACTGGCTCTGGTACCCGGGAGAACCTCTCTTCAACCTGTGGGAGGGGCCGGTGGGTTAGAAACCCAGGCTCGGTGCAGAGGCCCTGAGTTTGCATCCTACCTCTGCCAACTGCAAACAGTATGTATGCCCTTGGACAAGTCACTGTGCCTCTCTGAGTCTCAGTTTTCTCAGGTGTAAAATGGGGATACTAATATCACCCACCTTCTGGATGCTATACAGGTTAAATATGCAACAATATATGTAAAGTGCTTACTATAACACCTGGCCCATAGTTGGTGTTCTAGAACTTTCTGCCACTTGCTTCCTGGACGCTAGGCCCCAAGGACCCAGTGTAAGTAGTCCTGCCTCCCAGGCCTTGAGGGGGCAGTTGGAAGGAAGATGAGACTAATAAGACTAATAATAATAATGCAAGCCTACATTTTATTGTCCACTATGCTACATGGTTATGTATGTGAGTTTCCTGAATTCTCACAAGCATCATACAATGAGCTAGACACTGACCATTACCCCATTTTATAGGCAGGGAATCTGAGGGTCAGGTCAATTCACCTGCTCAGGGTCCCCAGTGCTGATGAGCTGGAACTCCCAAGATGGGCTCTGTACCTCAACTTCCTCTCCATGCCCCGCCCCCAGGAAGGGCCCCCAGGAGGGGAGGAGAGCTTTAGCCACCCTTGTGGGCTCCAGGCAATGAACTGAGCTGGTTGAGCCTGTGTTCCAATCCAGACTTGCTACTCACTGGCTGGATGACCTTGAGCAAGTTTCTCAACCTCTCTGTGCCCCAGTTTCCTCACAAAGTGGGACCTAGAACAACTCCCAAAGGGCTGTGAAGGAAATGCTGAGCTTCTGAGGCCAGGAGCTCTCCCAGCACCGGCTGACTACGGGGAGGTACAGAGGAGCTCTGCGGGTGGTTTTAGAATTATTTGGTGTGTCTTGCTCACAATGTTGGGACAGGGACCCCTCCCCCCACCCAGAGCCCTGGCTCCTGGGTTTCTGGGGGAGATGGGAGGGTCAGTGACAGGCTCAAGCTGAGGGGACAGTTGGCAGATGACTAAAGAGGGATTTTCCAGGCCATGAATCAGAGTCTGCCCCAGCCCCAACTGACCCAGACCCATCATCCTGGCAAAGCTTCTAACTCAGCAGAGGCTGGGGAAGCAAAAACTGCCCTCTAACCTGGACACAGCCAGGTCTGGGCACCTTGAGGCCCACACTGAGGCTTGCACAGGGCACTTCAAGGGTCCCATTCCTGGGACATTCTGGTGGCACCTTCAGAAACCATGGGGGCAGGGCTCCAGGTGCACCTGTCCTGGTACCAGGGCCTGCCCCTGCTGCCGTGACCCCCAGAAGGACTGGGATGGCTGTGGGGGTCCCCAGCACTTAAGCCAGGAGCAGCTGGGCAGTCCCAGCTGGGAGGGGCCCAGGGGTACCGAGGGGGAGGGGCAGGGCTTGAGAATGAGGATGTGAAAAAAGGGGTCCTCAAGGGACAAGTGGGTTCTGGACACTGGAGAGCAGGATGAGGTGCAGAAAAGGGTGCTTCAAGATTGGGATCTGGAGGGACTAAGAAGTCTCTACAGGGGTGTAGGATAGGGGTCTTGGAAGGCAGAAGAGGGAAGACAGAAATCATTTGGGGCTGAGATCTGGGAAGATGGGTGTTGAGCGGGGAGGGTGGCTTGCAGGAATTGGAAAGAGGAATGAGGTGAAAAAAAAGGGGTACCCAGGCTTGTGGAAGGAGCATGGGTGTTGGATCCCAGGAGTCTAGGTCAGGTGAAAGAGAAGGAAGCGTCCTGAATTGGGATCTGGGGAGTCGAGGGTGTCCCTGGGTAAACGGTCGGTCTGTGGGTTGGAGGGCTGGGATGGTGGACAAGGGGCGGGGGTGGGTCATAGGGATTGAAGGGCAGAAGAACTGAAGGGAGGAGGACGGGGGGTGTCTGGGGCGGGGCTCAGGATCTTAGAGGGATTCTCGGGGGTCTCCAGTGGAAGGCAGATCCAGAGACTGTCAGCTGTGCAAGGGGAGGAGAAGGCATGTCGGAAGTGACTGGGGTGCCTTCCTCCTTATTCAGGCCACCCCCTTCCCCGCACCACCCCCGCCCGCGGCCCCGCTCGGTCACCTGCTCGAAGGCCCAGCTCTCGGCCACTCGCTTGGCACTGAGCTCCAGCAGCGCCTCGGGCCGGCCCCGGCCGCGCGCGACCCCGGCCCCGGCCCCGGCATCTCGTTCCTCCGGTCCTGCGGGGGCGCCCCGGCTCCGTTTGGCCGCGGGGGGGTCCATAGGCCGACAGGAGCCGGGGCGGGGCTGCCAGGGGTCGATCCGATGCCCCCTCCACTCCGTCGGCTCCCGTGACCTCTGGCCGCCCTTCAGTCCTTCTTTGGTGCTTGGCCGCCCCGGGACCCCCGCCGCACCCACCCCCGCCCCTCACCGGGCCGGCGGGGTGATGCGGCCCCTTTAAGACTCTTAACAACAATGAAGCGCCTCAGCCACCGCTTTATCTTCCGCCGTCGTCCCGCCCCCGCCGCCCGTCCCCATTGGACCCCCCCTCGGTCTCCGCGGCCTTTCTTCTCCATTGGCGGCGCCGCCAGCACCGTCCCCAAAATGCCTCTGTTCATTCGCTGCCTGTACTTGCCCGTTTTTGGGGCCCACCCAATCAGGGTGCGCAGCGAGAGGTACTGTCAATCATGGTGCACCGGCGGCCAATCAGAGCTGGGGACCCCCCCCCGCGGCGCTGTCCTTAAGTAGAGTTTCGGGGCGGGCCCTGGGTTCATTCACAACATTCCTCCCCCTCCCCCCTTGGGCTGGACTGCGAGCCCCGGGCAGCTGGGGCTGCGCCCACACACGGCTTTGTTTACTGAGGGTCGCTTCCGGGCGCCGCAAGGGGACAATCAACACAGCCCAGTCGGAGGAGCGAGAGGGAACGGCAGGAGCCCGGGACAGCGCTCAGCACTTCTTCCTCCTGCCCGTGGGGCCCAAAACAACTCCCTCCGCCTCTCTGGGCGCTGGGTCAAGTTTTGATGCTTTGGGGGCCACCGGCCCCTTTGAGGAGCTCATGCAGGCAGCGGACCTCTTCCGTAGGAATAAAGTCCATTTAGGGGGTTCAGAGACCTTCCTCAAGCCATTCCCTGACCCAAAAACAGGAACCCTCAATCCATTCTATGCCCTAAATATTAGGTCCAAACATATGAGTTTGCCAATTTTCGATTTTTTTTACCTATAAAAATGTCAATTCCGTAAGGTTCAACGTAATACACGTCAAACCCGACCACCTCTGGTGATTTTTCTTCACCTCCAGCTTGTCTAGCCTCACGGGGTCTCTCCCACCCCTATGTTCTCAGAGAACCCTGCATTTTTTCCCTCACACTGCTCTCCGTTGTCATTACATTTATCTATCTGTATCTGGGGCAGTTTAGTATCTGTCTCTCCCTGTCCACCGTGAGCCCCAAGAGGCACGGGTTTGTCTAACTTGTGCATAGGCTGAGCCTCCAGAACCTGGAATAGTGCCACGGAACTGGGCCTAGCATACAACAGGCGCTTAACCTATAACTTGTTGCATGAATCAACTGGCCCTTTGCCTCCCTTCCGGCTGACAGGATTGACAGAGCAGGAAAAACCCAAGGTGGTTCTATGAGGCCTGAGTCCCTTCTCTCCCACCGGAAACCTGGCTTTTTTTTTTTTTTTTTTCAAATAGTTTATTGAAATAGAATTTATGTACAGTGAAATACACAAAACTAAAGTAACATGGGTCAATGCATTTTTTTTTTCAGTTTTCCCCCACCCCCACCCCTACCCCCTGTAACCAACAAAGAAAGTTTCCTTCCACATATAAAACTGTCCTTGACTTTTTACAGTAATGAACTAATGAAACCTGGCTTTTTTTTTTTGTTCCAGGAATTTCCAGTCCCCACCCATCGTTCAGTACACTCCTCTCCAGACCTAAGCTGTCCAGCACCATCTCACCACCGGCTACCAGTGAGTTCTGAACCCTTAAAACAAATGGGGCTGGCCTAAGTTGAGACGTGCTGTCAATACATAGCAGATTTCACAGACTTAGTAGGGAAAAAAGAATGTACAATAATCTCATTAAGAATTGTTTATATTGATTACATACTGAAATTACAATATTTTAGATACATTTGGGTTAAGGAAAATATTTGATTGAAATCAACTTCACCTGTTCCTTTTTATTTACTGTGTTGCTAGAACATGTACAATTACATATGTGATTCACATTGTTATCTCTATTGGGCAGCGCTGGTCTTGAGAAACCAGATCCTGGCGAAATAGTGACAACAGAAACAGCGATAACTGTAACATACCCACAGCTCAGACAGGGCTCATAAGGTACATTATCAGGTTGAAGCCTTTTGACAGCCCTGCAAAGTGGGATCATCACCTGCATTTTTCAGAGGAGAAAAATGAGGCCTGGAGAAGTGGAGTCGCTGGCCTGAGGTCACCCAGCAGGTAAGGGACAGGCTGGTCCTGGACTTACTAGATTGTCTTTTTCTTGCAAAGATTTGGGGACAAGATAGACCTGTGGGGAAGGAGTAACTGGGGTTGGGGGAGAGGCAGGGAGGACTTCAGCAAAGGGTCTTCCAGATGCTTCCCTCTCAAACAGGACCCAGGCCCTGCTTTGCCTGGTGGCCCCCTTCAGCACCTGGTATCTGACTGTGTCATCTCACCCAGGTGGTTGCCCTTAAGGAGCCTTCAGTGGGTGTCCCAGATGTTGGATCAAAGCTACTCCCAGCCAGTGGACTGACTTCAGGAGAATCAGAATAGGGCGTGGAGTAGGACTAACTCAAGAGAAAGAACGTTTTATTTTGCTGTCTCTCAAACAAATGATACTAATAGTGTCATCATTCCCATTGCAGATGAGGAAACTGAGGCACAGGAAGGTCAGGTGACCCGCCTAAGGTGCACAGCTGGAAAGGGCAGGGCCACACTGGAGCTGGCCCAAGGCTGGTTCCTGACCCTCAGGCTCCGCCTCTCTCTCTCTCACTGGCTGACGGTGGCTAAAATTCTTTCTCAAAAGAGCACAAAGCCTTTGTTGATGTCAGTAACTAATTTGAACGTATTCGCTTTGTCCTGTGGCCACAGGATTTTTGTTCATTGTACTTGTTTATGAATGGCGATACTGGTTTTCCAATCTTCAGTGAAAGGAAAAAGAGAGGATTTAGGGAAAAACATTAAGTCAAGAGCAGCACAGGTGCTACATGACATGGCAAACATTGGCTGAGATCAAATGCACAGTTTGGGAAACATGAATGTCCTCCTCCAGCCCCCCTAATTTCTCTAATTGAGTCCCAGAGAGGGTCAGCGAGTTGCCTAGGGTCACACAGGAGGCCTGAAGGAGCAGATGAAGTCAGAAAGGCCCCTTGAGGTTGGAGACGGTCCCTGGATGAAGTCTCTAGGTTTATTTCAAGCTGGCCCTCTTCCTAGCAGGACATTTGAGAAAGGAGAATCTGTGTGTGTGTGTGTGTGTGTTGTTTGGGGTTGGGGGGCGGGACTCAGCCACTGCACTGCCTCCCTCTCAGCCGAGCCAGCAAGCTCAGGCTTCGGGGAAATGGAAGCCACATTTATTCCACCGCCCGCCCGCCCGCCCCGCCGTGAGCTCACTGTCTAGGCATCCACAGCTCCTGACCCCACATCACATGTCCTCCTGACCTGCGGGAACCGGGGCAACTCTGGAAGCTCAGGTGAGGGGGGTCTTGGCCCTCCCAGCTCCGCAGCCACCCTACCTCACCTTTCCCAGGGCTCCTCTCCCCTGCCAGCCCCAGCACCCGGTGTCCCCATTGACTTGGGGAGCAAAGCCGCCCGGGCAGTTTCACTTCCTGGTGCTGACGCAGCCCCACCAACTGGCACGATCTGCATCATTCTTCTTTTTCAAATCACAAGTTCACGGGCACTCTGTCGGGGCCCTGCCAGAAGTGGGCATTCCAGGCAGAGAGGGACAGTGGAGGCAGAGTGGGAAAGGTCAGGGCAAGCATACCCTGGCCTGGAAATATTTAATGGCTCCCCTCGCCCGGGGGAGAGGCAGGGGCTGCGGGGCTGTGGGCAGATGCAGGCCAGTCCAGGCAGGGCTGAGGCTCCCCCCTGCGTTCCAGAACTCAGGGCAGCTCAGATCACACGGGTGAGAGCCACATGCCTCAAGCTTCGGGATTCTGCACGCTGGGAGTGTCTGGAGCCTCCTTTAGCAGATGGGGAAACTGAAGTTCATGGACTTGCTCGAGGTCACACAGCCAGCAAGTGGCAGAACCTGGCCTGGGGCTCTTAGCCACAGCAGAACGAAAGGAATTAGTACAGGAAAGGGATGGGAACAGGGGCAGTTTGGGGAGGTCAAGGGGGTAAGGTGAAGGGGGATCCCCGGTGAGTGCACATTCCAGACCCCATACCCGCTGGGCCTGATATCTTCGCCCTGAGTCCTCAAAGGGGTGGGTCAGCGTTCCAGGCACAAAGGGAGGCAAGGGCTTGGCGCAGGTTCAAGGCGCCTCCTAGTGGACAAGAGGAGCCACCACATAGCACCCAGAGCTGACCTTGGAAGTCTCTTGTCCAAAGGTTAGAAGATAATTTTCAACGGAGGATGAGATCATGACTATGAGATATAAAGGTGAACCCGTGCTAAACATTTTATTGAACTCATGAAGGATCCAGGCAGACATTACAACTGGTTCAAGAAAGTCTGGAAGAATCAAGCTCAATTGGCATAACATACTATACAAAACATTGTTCCACCTCCTACTTGGTGAGTAGCGACTGGGATCTTAAAAGCTAGCAAGCTCCCATCTAGATGCAATGATGGGTGTCTCCTCGTCCAGAGCAAAGAAGAATGAAAAAAACCAAAATTCATGGAAACAATTAGTCCTAGCGACTGGTACACCATCTGATCTTCAGCCTACACGACTATGAGACCAGAAGAACTAGATGGTGCCCGGCTACCACCGTCATCCACTTGGAAGGGGATCTATGTGGGAGATCCTTGATAGAGAGGGAAAACTATGTGGAACAAAACTCAAAATCATTTGGAGAAAAAAAAAGGGGGAGGGGACCATGTTTGCTGGTCCGATAGAGCCTGGTGGAACCACTGAGACTATGGCCCCTAGCTGCCCTTCAGGTCTGGAATTGAACCCACACCTGTGGTTTCCAGCCAAACAAAAGACAGGCATATGAGTTGAACATTTACCTCAAGTAGATACACTCCTTGGAGAGAACAATCATGGGAGAAAGAAGGGCTGCTTATGCACAGAGAGACAGCTCAGGGGGCAGGAGTGCATGGAGGGATGGACACAGGGAAGAGGTAACAACTATGGGGAGGAAGTGGGAGGGGAGCTGTTGCATTGTGGTAAACTGTGGTAAATGTCAAGACAAAAGTACATGTGAACCGCTGTATGGAAAGTAAATTTCCTCTGTAAACCTTCACCCAAATCACAATTCAAAAAAAAGAGAGAGAGAAAAAAAAAAGACTGGAAGATTTTTATAGAGTAGGAATACTGTAAAGAATGTGCAACTGGGGGCAAATATGTTTTTCACTGGGTGGGGGTGGGGGGAGGAGGTGTGCCAACGGCAGCTCTGACCACAGGATTCGAATTTGCAAGTCCATAGATAAGAATGACTGTGCACTGCTATCAGTTACCTACAACTCAGAGGGCTGAAAAACAGTTCAGACAGTGTAACCCAGAGAAGCTAGAAGGGTGTCTGTCGGAGATGAAGCATAGGTTTCCAGTGATGCACACATTTTTCCTCAAAGAAGAAACAACTCCATTTGTTCAACGGTCGTCTGTGGAACAGATGCTTTGTGCCAAGCCATTTTCAAGCTGTGGGAGATGCAGCAGGGAACAAAACAAAGCAGACACCAGCTTGGTGGCAGGGTGACCACCGCTAGGAGGACAATCAGGCAGGTGCCTCAGAGGGAGCAGGGAAGGGCTCTCTGAGCAGCGACATCTGAAGACATGGGGGAAAAGGGAGGGAGGGGGCAACTGCCAAGGCCAGGAAGCCGGGATGAGAAGAGGGAAGAGGTGGAGAGGGTCTGGCCTACCGGATGATTCTTCTATTCAGTGTGACGGGAAACAAGGGTGGTGGCCCAGACATGGTCTGGAGGTCACCAACATTTCCAAGTGAGGAAAGGAAGCCAGGAAAGGAGCCCAAGAAAGGGCAGCCCTCGAGGGAGGAGAAAAACCAGGGGAGGGGCGTGTGGTTGTTAGTGGCTGTCACGTAGGCACCAATTCACGGGCAAGCATACGTGTAACAGAATGTACCATCTTGTGTGTCTGAGTCCACAGCTGCAGCTATGTGTCAATCTCTTAACTGAGGGTGTTCCTCATTTTTGCTGACCCTCTGCTTTCCCAGACATGACGTCCTTTCTCAGTCAATGGTCTTTCCTGATGCTGTGTCCAAAGTGAGTGAGCTAAAGGCTTGCCATCCTCACTTCCGTGGAGAACCCTGTTCTCCTTCTAAGGCAGATTGGTTTGTTCTTCTGGCGGCCCACAGTGTAGTCGATACTCTTCACCAACGCCCCGGTTCAACTGCATCAATTCTTCCATTCTCCTTTTTCATTCTTCACATGCACGCGAGATGACCGTGGTTTGGGTCAGATTCACCTCAGTCAGCAAAGTGACATCTGGGCTTTTTAAAACTTTAAAGAGGTCTTTTGCAGCAGATCTGCCCAGCGCATTGTCATTTGCCTTGATTGCTGCCTCTGTGAGTTGTTGTTGTTGTGTGCCATCAAGTCAGACCCGACTCATAGCGACCCCTCCTTGGGTATCCAAGGCAGTATCACTACAGAAGTAGGATTGCCCAACCTTCCTTCCGAGGAGTGGCCGGTGGGTTTGAACCGCCAGCCTTCTGGTTAGCAGTCAAGTGCCTTAGGCACTACGCCACCAGAGCTCCTGCTTCTGTGAGTATGGATCACCAATCTGA